AGGCAGCAAGCAGGCTTACTGGTTTGTGCGAGATCTTCAGGCAGTAAATGAGTGGGTTCTCACCTGGGGGGTACCAGACCCTTCTACAACGACTAATTCCATCAGTTGTTCAATGACACTCTAACTGACTTATGTACCACATTTTTCAGTATACCAGACCCTCGGTACCTTTTTGCATTTACTTGGAGGAAAAATATAGCAGACATAGACAAGACTTCCCAAGGGCTGCCCTGGGTCTCTTGCTATTTTTTTGTAGAATTTTAGTAAAAGGTTTGCAGGATGTTGTGTTTTAAAAATGGATCCATTTTGATACAATATGCTGATGATCTGTTAACAGCCAGTACCTCTAAGGAATCTCCTATAGCTGATGCTCAGACCTTCCTGTTTGCATCTAACAAACAGATGTGCTGTTCCTAGATCTTGACCTGGTACTGTGTGTAGACGGATTCTTGTAGTATCTGAACAGCAAATGGGCTATGGGTTACTCAGTAACTCCTGTGAATGAAGCACTGGGGGCTTTGAGCATGCAGGCAGCAGGGCAGATTGCATTTAAAAAGACTTGCCAGCCATCCAAAGAAAAGGCTGTAAATATTTACACTGATTCTCAGTATGGATTTGGAGTGTGCCACACCACTGGGCAGTTATAGAAGCAGTGTGGGTGTATAACTTTTATTGCGAGTAAAGTACTGAACTGTTAAAAGCCGTACAGTTGCCAGAGAAACTAGCTATCATTCATCAGTTGCACTGGCAAAAAGACAAAAGAAAAAATAGCAAATGTTCTAGTGGATGTTGCAGCTCAAGCCCAGCACAATTGCTGTATGAACCACCAGGCTTACAAGCAGTGCAGTGGTCCAACCTGATGTTGCCCACTCCTGAAGAGATCTATTTGACTATTCCTGCTGAAGAAGCTGACTCTTGAAATAGGAACAAGATGAACAAAGTCTCCCAGGGAATATGGAGAGCAGGTATGGAAAACCTTACTGTTTTACCAAAGCGACACCTGATTCCCGTAGCAAAACTGCATCACCATCCAGGGCATTTGGGGACTGCTGCACTAGCCCAGACAGTGCTGAAGAATCAATTTGCACCAAAAATTTATGCCACAGCCAAATAAATAACCGTGTCTTGCACACACTACCTTTAGCCTTAATGAATCTTGGCAAAGACCTCACAAAACCCCAAACTGTCTCACTATGAAATACTATGCAGAAGACCAATGCAACTCCCTGGACCTGATGTATCCGCTCATGTAAGTTTATTAGCAGGAGATCAAATCATAACCCAGTATATTTTACAAGTTCCTAGATTATTAAAAAGCAGTTGGGCCCAGGCACAGCTTATACAACCAGTACCTCTAGAAGGGGCTCTGCACCCCTTCGATCTAGGAATTGAGTTTGGGTAAAAGTACACGGAAGGATAACTTGAAGGATAACTTACCTCCTCGGTGGGAAGGACCCTTTTTGGTATCACTAACATTTCTCAAGGGTAAAGATGGATAGAAAATTGAGTTGTATCAACCTCTTCCACCTGAATTCTGTGACCAGTACTTGTAATTCTATATGATTATTATTAAATAGTGAGCTGCAGCATAGCGTAGTGAATTATTGCTTCTCAGGTTTTTGAAAGTTCTCTGTCACAGGAATCTACAATTTCATCAGACTAGAACTGCTTGGTTGCTCTTTATTTTTCAGCTTTTCTCTGAAACCTGAAAGAGATCTATGCTCTGTTAACCTTGAATCCCACAGCCATTGCTGCTCAGCTGTCTGTTTAGGTATCAGATCTTACCAACTGCCAAGTGATGGATGGATATTTTCCTCAGGAAACTGTTTCTCACACAATTTCCATTTTTCTTGTTCTTCAGATCTTGCAGATGAAAGGGCTGCTTTGAAGGTTGGGGTTCTTATAATAGACAGACACATTGCTGAGTAGAGACATGCTGACAATAGGGAAGGCTGTATTTCCACCTTGACTTTTGCACCATGTAAAGATAGAGTTTCTTTCTCAGTCCTTATGCCTTTGTAGGGCTTCCCTAATTGCCTGCCAATTGCAGTTTACCAAAGAAGGACCTAAAGTTACAGCAGCTTTGTGGTTGCCAAGATTCAGAAGCAGCATTTTAAGGCAGCTTTTAGGCATGTCTTGCATTTTTGAAGGAGGTCAACACGTGGACACTTGGCTTTCATGTAAGAAGAGTATAGATGTAGCAACAGAACAGTTTAGATAATTCAGAGAATGTGTGCAATACACAGTGTTTATGTGGGCATGGCTGTATATATTTATGAATACGTATAGATAGTGTATGTATATGAACATCAAAGCACTTGGTGATGGGATGGTAGCATTTCTTGTCACACATTTTTGCACTTATCTAATTTTGTTTCTTATAGTTAAAACAAGATAAAAATCTCACTTAGCAACATGAAATGGAAGCATTGGAATGATGAAAGAACCAGGATATAATTATTGTTGATTCTATAAAAGATTTTACTTTATTTTTTGACAGCTACAGTCACCCGAGTAACTCAAGGAAAGTCCAATTATAGTCTGTGTTAACTGACTGATAGATAGTTGGCTACAGCATGTCAGTGAGCACCTCTGATATCAAGTTGTGCACTATATATAATGCATATGTTGTGTAAAATATATCTAAGGAAAATTGATCGGACTTCCCCACACTCTCTTTAATGCTTTGGTAATTTTGATACAGATTTAAACTCTATTACTTCTTTTTCATAATGCCATACACAAGAAAGAAAAGGATTAAAGTCATAGGGATAAGACCTCTGGAAAACTTGCATTGTCAAGTGAATTTATATTACATATACTGTGAAGCAATAATTTATGTGGCACAGCAGGTCTACAGAAGATCAATATAATCCTTATCAACTTTTGCATAAAAATAACCTATTTTTTGCAGTCCCATTTCATATAAAAATTCTACCCTGAGATACTTAAAAGTGTAAAAATGGCATCTTCTCTCAGATTCTGCCAGCAAATTTGAGCCCAGTACTAATTAAATCATCAAATCCAAGTTTGCTCAGAAGGAGGCAGCTTCCTTGATACCTATTCTGTTCCACTCCCCACCCTGAAAAAGGAGAAGGGATGCCTCTTTCATTCTACTGACCACTTACAGAGCCAAGCCCCCCAGTTTAGCAATGCCATTTGAAGCCTGGCACTCAGTTCAGATGTTACAGGGCAGGGCCAAGAAGGACACAAACAGCCCAGTCACTCTTTCCTGACACACAGAAAAGATGAGCGCAATGCCTTTGCATGTTTGCAGTCCTGTGTGTAGTCATACATAGTTGTAATTGGCTGAAAGACGGTAAAAAACAAAAAAAAAATATGAGAAATTTAGAAGTGATAGGAAACCTTATTTCCATCAGGAACCTAGCAGCTAGAAGTCTTCTGCTAAGCCTAGTGAGAGTCAGGGACATGGTTTCTCATCACATAGGCACAGGACACGTTGACAGGTAGCAAAAGGATTTTATATGTTCATGGTGTTATGCAGATGTCGTCAGCTATGTCTTGCAAACTACAGATCACAGCTCTAAAAAGTGTGTAGCTACAGAAGGGTTGCTGCTCTTTTTTAACATTTGGAATCTCAGCAGAAAGGATTTTGCACTTGTAATTAAAATTATATTATAGAGCTACACATTTACATATCACAGGAGTCCTGGATGTAGTTTTCAAATGGTTCTCAACTACTGAATTGTGTCTTGACTCACAAAATTGTTATAATGCTCTTTTCTTATTCCCTTCTGTTGCCTCTCTGGGTGAATATTTTAGTAAAGTTACCCAAGTCTTTTGTCAGTAATTCCTCATTTATTTCTCTTATTATGGTATCTTAAGTCTATAAGGTATTAATGTTCTAAGGAGTAACTGCATTGCTAAATGAATCATGCAAAAGTAACATAGAAATTAAGCCCTAAATTTGTAAATCTGCAGCATACAAAAAGATCATACCAAATCTCATTAAAATATAGCGCTAATATGAAAGAATAACAAAGAATTGTTTGATTTCTACAAAAAGAATGTTGGTAATTTTTTACATCTCAGTAGACACGATCTCACTTTTAATTAAAATTTACTTGTATGGTGTTATGCATTTATATACTATCTCATTAAAATGTCAAAATACTCTATAGTTACTCATTAGGAATCCAGGGTTAAATTCCATTCCATCTCAGTTTTGAGTGGTTGTGGGTAGTGTAGATCTCAGTTTGTTCTCTGTAAAATAGAATAATAAGTGGGTTTTGAGGCAGCTAAAGGTGAAAGAATTTGGAAATTCAGTGTATAACTGTAACCTAAGACAAAGGCCATATTTTCATCTTAAAAACTCTAGAAACAACATTTTCTGTGTTTTCTCCTTCTTAATACTGCCGTAAATAAGCTGTCTCTTCAGCTGCAACCATTGTCAGATCCTCATTGATTTGTTTTGTCAGAAACTGTTCTGTACTATTGAACCAACCAAATATGCGAAACTAACCACCACATTATAATATAGATTACCTATATTCTGTTCTCAAGTATGTGGACAGTGTGTTTATTTAGGGCTGTGTCACTGTTTAATTAGAATATTTGAAATGTGCTGAATATCTTTAGTGCATTGAACTTCTCCTCAGTTTGTGTCTAGAACGTCTCAATAATATTCAGAAAGTGAAATGCTTCCCATACAGTTCACGTATTGATTAATTACCCGTTGAAGGGAATTTGAATCCATTTTACCTCTAGCATATGATGTTTGGCATCAGCCCCATGATTTTAAGGGTATCAAACCTCTTTAGAGAAAAGTAACTGTATGAGCTAAATATTTCCTTCCAACGCTATTCCTTCTAAAGCTGTAAGAAATCACTTGCTTTTCTGGGTTTTAAAGCTTACTCCATCAGGAAGATCTATCTCTTAGGCTAGCATGCTCCAACATACTGTGAAGACCTGAGGCAAGGTCCCTGGGATAATGCTAGTGCCTAAGCTGTGGGAGAGACAGACCACAGTGGGAGCTGTTATAAACACTCACTAAAGTTTCATTTTTATTTCAGAAATTCTAGTTTAACAAGAATGATACAAACACACAAAAAGTTGCTGGGACCATTCCATCCATACAAATTGCACAGTAGTGTATTCTAAAATAGAAGTGTTGTTATGTTTTCCCAGCATTCCTGCCCCCACATTTGGTGCTTTTATTCTGAACTATATACTTTCTTCCAATTATGTGTGGGGATAGGCTTAATTACCTCCTAAATAGGAATTGTTCTTTGAGCCTGTTCTCAGAGCTCCCCAGACGGACCCACTGGTTCCCTGGTGTCTGACACAGGCAGTGGCAGAAGGACTGGTTGCAGGAGATGCCCAATTCAAAGTGTGTGGTATGACTGGGCTTTCCGTTATCCTTCAGAGAAGGTTAAATGGAATTCCCTCTATCAAGACAAATATTTATATGTGAGTTCCGTAGAGGTCAGGTTGTTGAAATAAATACACATGGACTTTATAGCTCCAATTAAGTGCGCAACTTTATCACCATCTGTCCAGCAATATTATGCTTCAGCTCCCCATAGTGGATAATGCAGGAGAGGCCTGGCATTGATTTTTTTTCTTGGTGGATTTTAAAAGAGGTAATTTTTTTTTCCCCAATGTATGCATGCTCTACATCTTTGGGATTTTTATTATATCTCACAGGTTATTAAGGATATGAGGATTTAAGTATGCCAAAAATAAAAGTCTCATTAAGTGTTTTAGATTGAGAGCTCATTATGCAGCAAAAAAATATTTCCATTATCAAACAGATGGGCTGGTATGTGCATTCACTTCTCTTGTGTACATACAGACTGTCTTCTTTACACAAATTCTCATATTCTTCTAGGTTGTACAATCATGTCTTTGACTTTTCAGGTGTCCAACTGAACTTCTCTCAGTCATACTTGAGTATGACTCAAGGTCAAGTTGCCCAGACTTCTGGTAGATCTTTTCGTTCTCCACAGAGATGTCTCTATTTGAAAGGAGGTGCCCAAAACTGAGAACTGTGCTTCACCAAAAGCCTTCTGAGCTCAGTGGAGTGGAAGACATTCATTCTTCTTGTGTTTGATAGTCTTTCTACATTTCAGTTAAGCAGTCACATTTTTTGCAACACCAAATTGCTGTTGACTCATTTTCTATTTGTGAACTGCTATGAACCAGGACTGCTTTCTGTGAAGTAACTGCTTAGCCAGTTTGTCTCCAGCTACATTTTTGCAGTTAATTATTCCCAGCTATACATAATAGTTTCTTGCCTTACTGAATTACATCCCATTTACTTCAGGTCTTTGTTTCAACTTGTTGTGATTTATTCCATTCTAATTGTATCTTCCAAAATGCTTGCAGCTCTCACCTGAACAGGATATCCTCCACAAATATGATAAAAATATTCCCTATCCTTTTGCAGCACAGAAGCAGTTCAGGACTCAGGATGTAAGCACCTGGAGATCTCACTTGCTACAAACTTCATTGATTGTGAATGACTTGACACTACTTCTGGCTGCCATTTTCTAACCACATAAGTTTTGTGTAGCCAATGTTCCTCTATCCTTAAGAGAATATTAGATGATACAGCGTCAGAAGCCTTGCTGGTCAAGATTTCATTATTTGGTTTTGAGCTGTTATTGTTGATTATTATTAATCTTATCATCCAAGGCCTTACAAATAATTTGCTTAATAATTTGTTACAGTACTTTGTCTGATACAAAGTAAAGGTGGCTGGCCTCTGATTCCCATCCTTTTCTTTCATTTTTAAGGTAGGCACCATTTCCTGTTTTCTGGAACCTCAGCTATCCTTTCCGAGCTCTTGGAGATAATTTCTAATAGCTTTGAGATTGCTTACCTGTTTCACTAAATATTTTGGCTGAAACTGATCTGGTACATGACTTTTATAAGCATCTTACCTGAATAGATTCTGTTTCTTTCCTTAGTTTAGCTTGATCATTTGGTTTTACATTCTAATGTTAACAGTGTAAGCCACCTGATTACAGCTGACATTTTGAAGAACAAAGCAAAAGAATGAGGTTTTGGTTTTCCTCGTATGACTTGGTAATAGTTTCCTCACAACCTGAGAGCAAATCAGTTCTTTCATGGTAATCTTCTATGTAAGCTTTTTGTTGTTACACTCTGGCTTTTTGATAGTTTTAGCTCATTTTGCCCATTAACCTTTCTGGATTTTCCCAATATATCACAACAGTCACTTTGTTGTCAGTTGTAATAATTCAGCCTAGATTCTGCTTTTCTCAAAAGGTGCAAGCCATTGAAATGGTGTCGATTTAGCCAGACTCTTCTCTTGCTAGCTTGCTTTCTCATTGCAATGGTCTGTTTGTGGCCTTCACGTTGATTCTGTAGGAAATGGCATACTTTCCAGGGTGTATTTTTCCCTAGATTTGCTACAATAGGATTTGGCTTTCAAACTGTGAGCTTCCTGAAACTTATTTTCACCCTGTTGATTTTCCTTCCTTTGCTTTTAAAGGGTCATTAACTCACTTGATGACCACTGTCACCCATAGTCTCACAAATTCCTTTCTGAGTATCTATCTTGCTATTGCAAGTCTCCTTATCACCAGTTCCTACGCTTTGGGTGATTTTATTCAAGTTAAAGTACCATACACTTGATCTTCTTTGTTTGTGGGTTGCTAATAGGTCTTTGCTGTGACAGTGTTCTTTTCCTTTCTGTTTTGCCATTATCCAAATATTTTCACTAGCTCTGTACCTTATGTTCCTTTTCTTCTACTTATGCTTCCTGAACAAACTCTACCTTTCCATAACAATAACCAGTTATGACAATTTATTCATAATTTTGATTATGAATATAATGACGTTCAGTTCCTTCTGTTTATTACCCATATTCTTACATAAACTTGCAGCATCTGAGTACGATGACAGGGGAACTTTTTCTGTATTATTCCTCTATTGTAATATTCTGTAAAATTGTTCCCCTCCTCCCCCTTAATTTTTCATCTTTCCCCACGCTTTTGTGGTTTATCTGAACCGTGTGGTATGATAAAAATAGTCTGAAGATAATTTAATTTACACCAGCTGCAGACAACTAGGAATGATATGTAACAGCAACAACAACAAATTGGGGGACTGGCCTAGCATGCAATGGGCTAAATAGTCCTGCCTTTATTTTCTCTGGGAATGGCTCTCCTTTATCTGCTTGCCTTGCCAGCTTTGAGACTGGTTTGTTACGGCATTACAATGCAAAAGGACCATGTCACAAATAAACCAGCTCTCTGCCCGTTTGCATATTCAAAATTTGCTTTGCTTTTTTTACAGCATTCAAATGAGCACTGGGGAGAATTAAACGCTTGGACCTATCAAATTCTTCAGTAGCTCTGCTCTTACAGTGCATTAAAAGATCTCCAAAATCAGACTTCTGTGGGTTTGCTGCTACAAGTAATTGTGCTTCAACCTTTACCCTGAAGTTTTGTAGCAGCACATCTCTGCAGCGGGCAGCAACGATGGGAGAGGGAGGCTCGAAGCACTGCAGCCAGCCTCCCAGCCTTTCATCACTCCTGCTGTTGAGACACGAGCCATGGGAGCAGACTTGCTATTTTACTGTTGTCGTGAGGAGCGCAGCATTCCCAGCTCTGGATCCGCATCACGAGAAAAAAGTGTTCAGACAGTGCCCGCGTGGGGAATCCGGCTGTCACAGGGTGACAGGACACAGCCTGTGGGCTTCACCCAACAAAGTGGTTTTATTTGAGGCTGTGTCTGACTTTCTGTAAGGTTTTGCTGATCCACATCTGGTGGAAAGAACACAGGCGAACTGTATAAATTTTGTGGTTAATTTAAATGTAATTTGTTTCACACGAGACAAAAAAAAAAAAAGAGAGAAAAGAAACCAAGAGGACAACATTATTTAAATGTATTTTATTTAAACATGAACAACGCTGATAATTAAACATACACATATATTTACTATTTAAATATTAAATATTTGTTTAACCATACAAAACCAGTGTTGATAAGCAAACACACCGTGTGGCTTAGTGAGACTGGCGTAGAAAATAGAAGGGCAAACTTTAAAACCTCATATTTTAAAGCGTACCATGATTTGTCGGTCACTTCCATTGTTCCTCAGTTGCGGTCAAGAATTTTGGTGGCGTTTAGGCGCCAGCCCCTCCGCGAGCGGGCTGCTTTCTGCGGGACCGCGGAGGAGCGGGTTCCACAGCGGGCGTTCGTTCGCGCCGGGCCCGGGCAC